ATAATATTATTCTTGTGATAATTTGTGTACATTTGGTGATTAAATCAAAGCAATTGTTTCAATGCCTTCACTGTTCTGTACTTTTTATCTCAATATTGACTAATCTTTGAAGTCAAACATAGATTAGAAAACATAAGTGAATAGAAATGCATGCTTTTCGGCATTTTTTGCTCGTTTAAGTGCATTACATAACTACACTATAGTAGGCGCTAATAATTTGTAAATCTCGTTATAAATATTATTTAATACAAACTAAAATAGTCTAACATTTCAACAATTGAACTTGAAATTCATATAAAACAATAAAATCTTTTTATACTATATTTCAGACAATGACATTATTTTATTTTTTTAAATTTCATTTATAATGCCAGTTGTAGCTGAGCATGTTTTATTTGATGCTATAATTAAAACTACCATTCCTATGGGAAAGGTCAGTGTAGTGAGACGGTAGGGCCAGTCACTGTAACACCACTCCTATTAAAATATTAAACTCATTATAATGCTATGAATTAAATAAATTTTGGACAAAATAACACATTTCCTTAATTATAATTTGTAAATATAAATCTATTATAGTTTATTACACGCTATAAATATATTAACACTGAATTGAATGCTAATTCATAAATAAATTAATTATAATGTGTTGGCCACACATCATGTCAAGTGATATTTGATTCAGAAATATATTCAGTACTGTATATCCAAGAAATATAATATGACTATAAAACAAGCAATAAGCTATGTAATATAATATAAAAGCACCCTGATCAATTAAACAATGCATTATTGTAGATTAGAACATACTTATCAAGTATACTTCTATAAAGTAACTATAGTTGGCATATCTATCCCAAAGTTTGGGACTCAAACCTATGCCCTTAACTTAAGTCTTAAGTATTGCTATGATATACAGTACAAGGAATCGGTATTACAGGTATGGACAGGTATAAAACCGGTGTTTGACATGAAAGTCTGTAGTGACAATAAAGCTACCTGTCCACTACTATAACTTCGGGTAACTACACGTTTCCATATTCTCGCATCAATTCAAATGCTTACAGTGTAAGTACTACTAGAATCTGGTGGAAAGGGATGTCAAGGAATTGTCAACTATTTGTGAATACTTTGTGCCATTCATGGAGTGAAAGGCAGTGAACGCATGCGTTGCCAAACATATGACACAATTGACGCACAAATGGACTGATGTTTGAATTGAATTGAGTTTCAAATGAATACCTAATTTGTAAGGATTTGCAAATCAAATCAATTGAATGACTGCAATGATGGGTGACTTGGAGGACGTGTTGACAGCACTGAAGAGGTCATCGAAAGGACGACTCAGTTANAGGGACGAGAAATAGACAGTCATTTAAAACACTCCCTAATGTTAAGTGCATTTCAAATGACATTTATTTAGTTTGAAACCCAATAGTCATTCATTTCTTTTCGTGACTGAGAAGTAGACAAAAAAATAGAGAAATTGAATACCGCTTTAACTTTTCGTACACTTCTTATAGGATTAACAAACTCTTAGTCGCTATCCATTTGAAGATCAGTCAAAACTATCATTAAACCACTTTTACAATGAATTATACGCTATGAGTCTAATTACAAACTAAATAAATTACTTTTAAATTACATAAAAACTACTCAAATATTCGCTTAAAATAATAATGCAATGAATGTAATGCATCTGTGATTTGTTTTATGACTTCAATAACAATTGCAATAAAAAGCGCCTAAAAACTAAAAATAAATATTTCATTGAATAGTTGAATAGGAATTGAATTCTGAAATAACATGCTTTGCATTATGAATACAATATTTCATAGAAATATGATGTACAGTATAATATATTGTAGTAGTGAGTCGTGAAATGAGAGGAAAGTTTGTGGTCTCGCAAACACTCCATAATTGAATCGATGTGTGAATTCTCACAATCCATACTTCCATACAATGAAACGATTTATTGAGGATTTGTTTCGATATGTATTTCCACTCTTAATGAGTGTCTCATATGTTGTGGTAGAGTGCGAGAGGAGTACAAGAAATCTGATTGAAAACTAAATTGGTTTACAGTTTAGACATTAAAGTCTAATCAGATTAGTTGATGACATATTTATAACCGATTCTCATGTGTGAGGCCGCTATCCACTCAAATCATATTCAGTCCATCAGTTTATTTACCACACAATCTATTTGTTTAACATTTATTCAACAACTGTTTCTCAATGCCTACAGAATATCAGAATATATCTATTTTCAAACTTTTCCCTTCCCTTCCCCTTCACTCCCCTCCTAACCATTCATTGCCTTTTGGTATTTAAATTAAACTATTTCTTTAGTTTTGACATTTTATGTTCACTTTTCTTAAACTTATAATTACTATATTATCATTACATAAATAAATGACATTTAAATGCCAGCTATCTTATGTGGATTTCTGATAGGGAGGGCAATACTATCTAGGTAACATTGCCTGTGGTTTCGGTGACCACCAAAATCACTGATTATGACATAGTATTGCCGGCAATCTTATGTCAGGTAATTCGGTATATCTATTTTCAAACTTTTCTTTTCCCTTCCCCTTCACTCCCCTCCCAACCATTCATTGCCTTTTGGTATTTAAATTAAACTATTTCTTTAGTTTTGACATTTTATGTTCACTTTTCTTAAACTTATAATTACTATATTATCATTACATAAATAAATGACATTTAAATGCCAGCAATAAAAGCTTTTAATAATGTTAGCTTATAAATTATAACAAGCAATCAAAAATCAATAAAACATTATTTATTTGTCATATTCATTTCAATTTAATGATAAACAAAATGAATTCATTTTACAAAACACTGTTATAAAAGTTTCGATGTAATGAATATTTTGCAATCATTTCAAATACAATTCTCTAATCATTTTTTCGATGTTTTACGTTTAACAGGCATTTCCCTAATTGGCGACCCTTTGCTCCCTTAGCCTTGATTTCACTACTTTTTAATGAATGTTTTGAAAGGAAATCTTAAGAAATTTTTATTTTTTATAAGGATTGTCGAGACAACCGTATGAATGAATAAAATATCAGTTTTATTAAAGATTCTCTCCATTCCTCGCATAATAATGTATACATAATATTATTCATTTCCTACAATAGTGTTGACTACACAAGTATTAATTACACCATTAGTCTTATTATTATTATATATTTATTTTTAGTTCTTAAATACCAGTAATCTGTTAAATTGTTTATACAGAGTATAGTTTGAGACGAAATTTACACTTCATTTATATAATGTCTCCCATTTTTGGTATAAATATACAGTATATTACTTATTCCTCGACAATAAATATAACATTAAAGTCTCGACAAATAGTATGACGAGAATTATTGATAAGATTTGATTTTTATTTCATAATAGGGATGACCAGGAGTGGGGTCAACACTCTGTTCTAACTTCTAAATGGATTAAAATATTAATAATTGTTATTAATTACTGACAGTTAAGAGATTACACAGTAATACAATAATCTGTATTACAGAATGACTTAAGAAAATAATTTATTGAAAACTATTGACTATTTTACTGACATTTGTCTGATAGTATGGCACTCTTAATACTGTATTTCACAAGAAAGCGTATGAATTGCAGGATACTGTTTGTCCTGAAATAGTTTCCAACCACGTTTCAGCTACCATTCCCCATGTGTTAACCCCCTTCCCATTATAGATCTATTTCTAATCGTTTAGTTTCCAAAATATTTGCTTATTTATTGCAAAACATTATGGTTTGGGATTAATTGTGATATAATATTATTCTTGTGATAATTTGTGTACATTTGGTGATTAAATCAAAGCAATTGTTTCAATGCCTTCACTGTTCTGTACTTTTTATCTCAATATTGACTAATCTTTGGAGTCAAACATAGATTAGAAAACATAAGTGAATAGAAATGAATGCTTTTCGGCATTTTTTTGCTCGTTTAAGTGCATTACATAACTACACTATAGTAGGCGCTAATAATTTGTAAATCTTGTTATAAATATTATTTAATACAAACTAAAATAGTCTAACATTTCAATAATTGAACTTGAAATTCATATAAAACAATAAAATCTTTTTATTCTATATTTCAGACAATGGCATTATTTTATTTTTTTAAATTTCATTTATAATGCCAGTTGTAGCTGAGCATGTTTTATTTGATGCTATAATTAAAACTACCATTCCCTTGGGAAAGGTCAGTGTAGTGAAACGGTAGGGCCAGTCACTGCAACACCACTCCTATTAAAATATTAAACTCATTATAATGCTATGAATTAAATAAATTTTGGACAAAATAACACATTTCCTTAATTATAATTTGTAAATATAAATCTATTATATTTTATTACACGCTATAAATATATTAACACTGAATTGAATGCTAATTCATAAATTAATTAATTATAATATGTTGGCCACACATCATGTCAAGTGATATTTGATTCAGAAATATATTCAGTACTGTATATCCAAGAAATATAATATGACTATAAAACATGCAATAAGCTATGTAATATAATATAAGAGCACCCTGATCAATTAAACAATGCATTATTGTAGATTAGAACATACTTATCAAGTATACTTCTATAAAGTAACTATAGTTGGCATATCTATCCCAAAGTTTGGGACTCAAACCTATGCTCTTAACTTAAGTCTTAAGTATTGCTATGATATACAGTACAAGGAATCGGTATTACAGGTATGGACAGGTATACAACCGGTGTTTGACATGAAAGTCTGTAGTGACAATAAAGCTACCTGTCCACTACTATAACTTCGGGTAACTACACGTTTCCATATTCTCACATCAATTCAAATGCTTACAGTGTAAGTACTACTAGAATCTGGTGGAAAGGGATGTCAAGGAATTGTCAACTATTTGTGAATACTTTGTGCCATTCATGGAGTGAAAGGCAGTGAACGCATGCGTTGCCAAACATATGACACAATTGACGCACAAATGGACTGATGTTTGAATTGAATTGAGTTTCAAATGAATACCTAATTTGTAAGGATTTGCAAATCAAATCAATTGAATGACTGCAATGATGGGTGACTTGGAGGACGTGTTGACAGCACTGAAGAGGTCATCGAAAGGACGACTCAGTTATGACAGGAATTGGAAGGAAGAGCGCAGAACTCAAGTGATTATCACTTCTTATGATTTGTTCATTTGATTGCCATTTGATTGCATCCCACAGGAGATCATCAGTGAAGTCAAACTCAACACCTCTGCCATCACTATATCACCCAAATGTCTCACCAATGGATCCGTTCATAAAAGCAAGAGTTGTGCCAAATATAAGGTGATCGAGAGTTCAAACGATGGCACCAAAGACACCAATAGTGGCCCCAAATGTGATACAAATGGCCATAACATGGATGGCGTTGATAATAGCGGCCGCAAGAGTTCCGCCTTCAGATTGAATGAGAGTATCGATGGTTTGGATTTAAGGAATTACGAGAAACAACGCCAGGAATCAGTTTCCGAAGAACTGAGTAAAAGAATTAAATGTTTGGAAACAGAGTTCAGAAAATGTAACGAAGAGTTTGACGAAGAGTTTCGACTCATTCGCCAGAAGTATGCGTTGGATGCCATCAAACGCATCAATGGCTTCGAAGACGATTATAAAGCACTCAAAGACAGCATTTCATTCAAACTGATGACCTCTGAAGACGACTCATTGACCACTTCAACGAAACTCAAAGAAATCGAAAGCAAACACCAGTTGTTAGTCGAAGAACAGCAGAGAAAACAATTGGATTTCAGACGAAAACAACTGTTGGTTGTGAGGAATGAAATGGATTTAGTGGTGAAAAGTGTGGAACAGTTGTGCAACAATTGGGAGACTGTCATCAAAAGTGATCAGTTCTTCCATACACTTAAACAAGAGTTAAATCTAATGAAGGGTTTGCTTCAAAGCATTGATATGTTGTCAACGAAACCTGATTTAAGTGATTTAGACGTAAGCAGTGCTCAGAATCTGAAGCTGGAAGTGATTCGTATAAAAGAGAGATTAGTGGCCGATATCGAGAGATTAAGACACAGCACTCAGGAACCACTAGAATTGAGATCCAATGCCCAAAATCCTTCAGTTATTGAAGCAACCGATCCGATACCCATCAACACAATTGAATCGCAATCCATGTCCGGTTCAGTTGATAATAAGGCGTTCAAAGAATATCTAAATTTACAAAAATACTCGAATGAATTCGAGAACTCATTTCAAAGTTTTGTTTCTGAAACCAAATTCAAGCAAAAGAGGAATGAATTGCAACTATTCGTGAAGACAACTATCAATACGATATCGTGTGAATCCGTTGAACACATTAAAGACAAATTGAATCGTTTGACACAACTCTTCAGCGAAAAGAGTGTCGAATCCGGAGGAAAACAAATCAATTGTTCGGCAAAAGACGGTTCCCTTAACTTCTGTATAAGTCTTGCCTCAAAGATGTTTGTCGTAAGTCTTATCGCCATTTAATCCGTAATAATATTTAATTTAAATCTTTATTTGTTTGCTTACAGAGCGTGAGTACTAAACAAAAAGATATTTCATTAACAATGGCTCCGATTGTGGTATTCTTATGGCAACGCTTCCCAACATTTGGCCAGATATTTATGGCACATATGCACGACAAGTGTCCTTATCTGGTGCCCTATTATCCCAAAAGAGACGCCGAAGATACTGACGATAATGAGACTAAATATCTTATCGCTTGTGGATATACTATATCTAAAGACGGAACTGTTGAACCGGAAGACTCTTTTATCAATAGAATGCGAGCAATGATTAAACTATATTCAGCTGTCATTCAGTGCAACCTTCAGGACAATCACCCGCACGGCTTGAGATATGCATGGATTTGGATCTCAAGAACTTTAAACTTAGAGCCGCGGCCCGTCATCACTGCAGCCATTCTCGAGTCATTTATATCCATCTCTTGTCATAAATTGTACCGATTTTATGGCAAACAATTCATCAAAATTATTCATTTCATTACTAATGATTACATGAAACGCATCGAAAACGTGACTCAAAAGGACACAAAACGTCAGTCTTTAGTGAAACTTCAGATGACTGTTGAAGATATTAAAAAGAAAATGAATCGCAATGTCGACCATAAAGTTCTGGCACCCGAAGGCTTAATACCGGACTACTTCTTTCAAAACTCTTACAACCACTCGAGGGGAACGGCATTCCATTTCAACAATTGAATCATATATTATTAAATTGAAATTTATTACAATTGTCAATCATTTTAACAAAAGTCTATTTAAATAATTAATTATTTTTAATTAATAAATCATTTGACGAATTGAATGCTTATATAAGTAGGGAGTCGTCGAACTCCTCTTCCTTAGGCTCGTGCTGTTGGGCTGCGATCTTCTTCAGTGTCTTATTGATGCAGTCCTGTAGTGACTCAACAGCACCCGAATCCAGTGCCGACAGACAAGTCTGCAGCACCTCATCACCCGCTCTCAGCTTCAGGAACGCCACTAATGCGTGTTCACTGTTAGCCCTAACCATTGAGTTCTTCTCTTTTGTTCCGTTCACCAGAAGTGGAACCAATGTCTTGAAGAGAACCGGAGGAATGCTTACACCACTCGTTCTCGAGATAAAAGTGGTCGAAATGGCGACCGCTTGCTTCACTTCATTGCTACTGTGATTCATCCCCTATTGAGAGCCAAATAATACGTTCATTTCAATTGAGAGTTCAGTTAGAGATTAAAGGCATTGAGAGACAAACCCTGGCGAATGCTGTGAGAAGCGTTTGCGGCGGAACTTCCGATTTGAGGAGATATTGTTTGATGAGATACGCCGACCCTTTCATACCATTTATCACAATCGGAACTCTGTCTGAATTTATGAAAGCTATAAGTGTTTTGCAAATCCTTTCGATCCACTCTTCTTTAATCAATCGATTGGACGCCTCTTTCAATGAGATCCGGAGCGCAACAGATCTCCCGTGACGTAGAGTCCAGTCCACAGTGAGGTCGTCATCCAAAAGATGGTCTTTCGCTATAGAGTTGAGTTCATCGTTGGGAAGCCACGCGCACAGAACGCCCAGACAGGCGCCGGCAGTAGATCGACACGAGTCATCCGGTAACCCGAGCATTGAAACTATTGTGGACGTGAGCTGACGGCGCACTGAATCAGACATCTTATCGCCGGCGGGTGTTATGCAAAGTCGTAAAGCGTGAAGCATAGTATCCCTGAGCGCCCAGTCGTCACTATTGGCACTACTCTTGATTGCATTGTGTAGTTCAGTGAATACGGGATCACATCTGTTGTGGACTGCAATCAATTGACTCAAAGCGTTGGCGGCTCTCAAGCGAACACTTCTGTGGGCGTCGTTCAGGGCTTTGAGGAAAGTTTGCTGTAATTGTGGTATAAATGGCCGCAAAAGAGCGCCCACTTTACCGAGAAGTAGTGACAAAGTGTCCAAAACAGCCACCTTTACGTTCCACGTGAACCGATCGCCCAAAATACGGATCAAAGGGCCGGCGATGTTCACCACCGATGGCTTCAATGCCTCAGCACTGGTCAGTTCAATCACTTCACTCAACCCATGGGCCGCCTGTTCTTTCTGTTCGGGATTGCCGTTAAGTATGGCTTCCCTGAAAATGGGAAGTATGGGAGCGATTCCTTTAGCCAAACAGAATCCGGGTAACAATAATTCAGTCGTTCCGTTGTGAGCGCTCGCTCTAAGACCGCTCACAGCATAGCGAACAGCGTTTCTCACTTCAGACACGTATTCCATCTGTTCTTTGCTTTCCATACTCTTAGTGATGGCATTCAATGCCTCCCAACTCTGATTCAACACCTGTTCGTTGGAATCCGTGAACAATAAAATCAAACCACGAATTAATTGCGATATATTTGACGATATGTTGGCCTTTGATTGACTGCAATACGCGTATAACAGCAGAACAGACGAGCGCCTGATTGTCGGCGACTCATTGCGAGCCGACTCCAAGAGGTGGTCCACTATAGTCCGGACGCCCATCTCGTCATTCACTGATAGTATGACTGATTGGCAGTAATCGAACTCCTGATCACAAAATTAATACAAATTTAATTCATACACTAACAGTACAGTTAAGATAAATAAATAGTTTACTTGTTTCTCGTTGGGTGTGTCGATGGCATTACTCAACGCCAATAGAAGTGCCGGAAGTATTTTTGGCAAATGTCTGGACAGAGATTCGCCGGCAACTGACGAGAGGAATGATAGGGCCCTGGTATTGACGGGGGGAACAGTGAGCTGTTGAACGATACAATTATAACATTATTACTAGTAATGTAATCTACATTTACGGGTGCATTAAATTTAATAAAATGATAGCTTACTTGTGGCACTAAATAAGGCAAAACAACTCTACTCTTAATGGCCATCACTTGTCGCAAGCCATCTAAAGTGTACTCTCCCTTCACTGGATCTCCCAATTGGTTCAGAAGCGCCGGCAATATCTCTTCAAGAGCTCGGACACCAACTGCAATGTGGAGGCTATCGAATGTCTTAGCGGCCGCTTGTCTTACTTCAGGTAAGGGATCGAAAAGTGCTTTTTTAACGGTAGGAACGAGTGAATCGACAAATGCCTGAACCATTTCCTTGGAAGTGGAGGCCATTATCTCACTGAGACCTATGCAGACACCCTGTCTCTGGTCAGAGCGGTCAGACTCAAGTCCCTGTTCTAAGATTGGAATAATTTCTGGGAGAATACGTTCGCCTAATTTACGGACTAAGTCGCCGAGAGTACGGGCGGCTACTTGTTGTTTGTCCTGACTGTTAGAGGCCAGGCATCCCAATAGTAGAGAGAATAGCGTTGGAAGTATCTCTTTGAGAGTTCGTGGAGTGTTAGTCACCACTACTTTCCATACGTGAAGAGCCGCCTGACGGACCTGTAGTGACACATCCGACCGACCCATATATAAACCAGAGAGCACTCGATTGCGACGATCGCCTCCCAGTGCGCCCATAATAGCCCGGTGCGACTGTTCAGTGCCGAAGTTATCGTCCTCATCGGCCGTCTCTGTGGTCATCTTTCCGGAAACGCCGGATATCTTAAACAACAGATCGCCCAACAGTTGCACAGAACTGAAACGAATTCTCCAGTTCTCGTCAAAGAGTCCGCCCTCTAATTCAGGTAACAGTAACTGAATGGCAGTCTCGGCGTACATATTGACGATGCGTTGACCGGCTCTGAGGGCTGTCTCGCGAACGAACTCATTCTCATCGGCCAGTGCTTTGAGCACCGGATTAATGATACGTCCGATATATTTGGTGAAGTCTTGGGTGAAGACCATTGGAAGGTATATAAAGAGCATAATATATCCGTCCTTCACGTGCGGCGCAATGTCTGTCCGTTCGGCCGTTTCGATCATTTCTGGGATAAATTTCTCGAGTCTTTCGAGACCCAGTCCTCCCATAACTTCACTCAATCCCTGCGCAGCTCCTGACCGGTCGACAGAACTGGTCTCCGATGTGAGTGTTGTCATGAGCCACGGCATAAGGTCTTCGAATATATCCTCTCCCATACCCTTAACCATAGCACCGAGAGCTCTGGCGGTCACACCTCTCACTTCAGGCACGGGATCGAGAAGAGATTGTTTGAGTCCCGGAATAATTGACGGCAAATATGGAGACAAATCCTTTTGGTCGGTCAGCGCATACATATTGCCAATGATCTGAGCGGCCATTTTGCGGGTTTCGGTGGACCGGCCCTGAAAGGCTCGCTCCACGACTGGCATTATGAGCGCCAGAGACGGCGCGTCTATGAAGTGTACAAACTTTGTGTTCAGCATTGTATTCAGACATTTGGAGGTCTTATTAGCCGGATCTTGAAGGGCTTCCAATAAGACGGGAACTATTGCTTGGATTTCGGGATTTCTAATGACTGAACCAATTTGTTTGAGTGCCTGAGCAGCCGTTTTCTGGACTTTCGGGTGAGAATCGGATATTACAGTCATTAGCTTTGGGACAATAGATGGCAAACACGAAGACAATTGTTTTGGTGCACAGAAGGCCATTGCGCCCAACAGTTCAATAGAACCGGCTTTTGTACGCCACGAGTCCTCTTCTAATGCATTTAAAAGGGACGGCAACACCAGTTTGACTCCGTGTGCACTCAATTTGGACATCACTTGTTTGGCCGTATCGTCAGTCGCTTGTCTCACACGAGTACTCGAGTCACCGAAACAGAGCAGAAGGTGTGGCAGAATGTGTACGATATAGGGCTCGAAGAGTCGGCCTAACATTGAGCACAACATCTCGAAGGCAAAGAGAGCGCCCTCTCTATGGTTGGGATTCTTCTTGTCCTGAATGGCATCCGTCAATGCGTCCATAATTCCCAATTGCTTTAACGATAAGATTCCCAGACCTTTGATAATACCTGCGATACCATAAGCGGCGCCTTTCCGCTCTCCATAACTCTCTGATTCGAGAAGCAATTGAATCAACTTTTGCAGTAAAGACGGCGCCTCCTCTTTGAATGCTGGGATCAAATGGGGTAAACAGTTGGCCACTGCTTCCTGAACCATCTGCGACGGTGTGGACAGGGCTTCGATGAGTTTGGCTACAATTGGCTTCACTTTGGGGTTGTCTTTGTCGATATGTCGGGCAAGAGTTCCCATGAGAACAACAACACTGCGTCTGACGGCGTCGTTATCTGAAGTGTCGGGCGCCTCGTCTAAGAACTTCTCGAACACATTGAGCAACAGATTTATGTGGTCTTTGCCGTGAAGGTTGACGAGAGCACAGCCCGCCTCCAACATCTGGCTCTGGACGCTCTCATTGCGATCGCCAAGCGCTTCGGGAACAAAGAAATGCGACAACTCTTCGATTATCTCTTTTGGAATCAATGGTGCGATTTGTGTCAATACGAGAGCAACACCTAACCGAGGCTCGTAGTTATCCACCTGACTGTTCGCAACGGCTCGACCAAAGTTGTCCATCAAAGGAGGTAACACTTTAGCCCTTTCTTTGTAGATATTTATCAATTGTTTTATTATATTCGGTGTCTGTTCGGGATATTCCGAGAGCAAGGCCTCCATAGCACCGGCCACTGAATGTCTTAGAATTTGGTTACCATTTATTATATCTTCCAATAAAGCATTGCAAAGAGAGACACCTGTCCTCAACCGGCAATCAGTGAACAACTGTTGAGCGCTTCCCGAGCAGTCTTCGTTTGGATCGAATTGAGCGACAAATACTCTGTGGGTTAACACAAACTTCGACTTTTCGTCGCTTATGTTGACCAACACGTTATGCGACAGCACTTGTAGAGCATTGAGTGACGAACTCCGCACTGTTTCCACACTACTCTTCAGTGCCTCTAAAAGAGTGTTCATCTCATCAAACGAGGCTCTGGCACACCCTTTGTCCCCATTGGCCGACATCGCTATGTCTAACAGCACTTTGGATGCGTTCTGCTCGATATGTATGGGACTCTTTGCGATCACTTTAATGATTGTGTCCAACATGTACTTAATCGGCAAATACTTGGGGTCTTTGAGTCCAATCTCATCGTCCAAGTCATCCAAACCATAACTGAATCTCATTTGCGTGTGTTCTGACACTATTTGCAGACATTTCAACAGTAAATCATCGCTAGTCTCACCGTTCAATAATAAGCTCTGTATTAATGGGAAAGTATAGGCAAATGCGGGTGCAGTCAAACGCAACTTTATGGCCATTTGGGCCGTCTTTTCGTCATAATCCCGTCCCGTCGGACGACACGTCCGTTTGTGTAATTGAGTCATCAATTTCTCTACGCGTTCGTCGAGACTACCAGTGATCCACTGCTCATCGATCGGACTGAAGGGTTTGAGTTGTCTTAACGTAAGATAAGCCAAAGAATCTCCGAATCTCTTCAAATCGGAGTCGTTTTGATTGAATAAGGCTTTACGCAAATCGAGAAACAGTTTAGTCGAGTATTGCGAACAAAGTGGTGATGAAAACAAATTAATTAATGCAAACAACACATCGTTGATATAGTTGGAGATGGCATTCGAGTTACTGACGGCTATGGACTCAATCAAATCAACTGCTGTTCGGAACTCATTGTAAATTGTGGTCAATTTGGTGCGAATCTGTGCCTCCTTTTCCAGCTGTTGCTGTTTGGCTTCCAATTGCTTTTTGGACAGTTGTGGGCCTTTGGACTCTCCCTGAGCTTTCTTCTTGGCCTCCAATTCCTTTTTGAGCTCAATTTCTTCCATCTGATCCTTATATGAGTACAGTTTGGACTCTCTTTTGATGTTCTTGTTTTGCGAATCATTATGAATTGAATCCAATACTGATTTGTCATACAATTCATTGTCTTTCGTTAAATAGATATCGTAATCCATTTGAGTTATTATCTTAAAGTCTGGTTTCGATAATGTATTGACAGCTTTATTCAAGAATATTGGGATGAAGTCGTGGGGCGCCAGACATACCAGCGCTTTGACTGCATTTCTCTTCACTGATATGTCGTCAATCTCTCGAAGGACTGTCTGAACAATAGTTTCTTTATTGTCTTTAATGTATTGGTCTATAAGTTTGGGATCTATTCTCTTATGTAATAAATTATACCAAAGATTGGGATTAGTGTTGAAAATAGGGTTTATATGCGCCGATGATAAGGCCACAAGAAGTAGTGATTTCAAGTGTCGTTCATCACTGCAGTACGAAAGCAACGAATTGTGGCATTCAATTAGTGCCGAAACTGATGGCTGTTTCGTCACTTCTGCGATCGGCTGACTCTCATCGTTGTTTGAATTGTCTTTTTGGATGTCTTTCAGGTCTTTAAAAAGTAAATAATACTCTCGAATCAAATCAATGGCAAACTTATCGTTGATTGAATTGGCGCTCAATTTCTTGGTCGTAATGAACGCCTGTTTACGAATGGCATAAGAGATGGGATGAGTCATCAACAGAATCAGCGCTCTGTTTATTGGCTTCATCTTTGAGTCAAGTTTTGTCTCGTAATTAAAGACAAGACAATCGATAAAATTAGTTAACATTAGAAGTGACTCTTCATTCGCCGAACTAATGAATTTGTCCGAAAGAAAGGCCAACTTTTGGGTGTCAAACATCTGATTAAATAATGGTTTGTATTTTGTTTCAAACTGTTTGTCGAGAGTAAACAGTTTCAGTGACAGATAGATAGCGTAAAGGCCTTCAGTAAGGTTCGGCATTTGGGAAACGGTAGCAGTGAATGACTTTTGGGCAGAATTTGTCAAAATGGTTAAGACATCGCTGGCCTGTTCTGACATGTTTTGCTTAAAAGCTGAGTTCAAACACGATATATAAGCGCTTTTCACATAAGCGGTCGATGTCTTCAATGTTTGCAATGCTTTGAACCATTCGATGAAGACTTTGGGAATTACTGATACCAATCGACTGCACCATAGCTGAAGTTGAGCCGTCATGTGGAGGATAGTGGGCTCGTGAACCTCTTGCTTGAGAACCGTTACAAATGATTCCAGCGCTACTTCACTCAAGTGCTGGGCCTCACCACTCACTGAATGCTGACTGAGGGCTCCGATTCCAGAGACGACACCCAAACGCTGGACAGTAATCGTTAACTTGCCTTCACTTCCGTTAAGAACAGCGAAATAGTGTTTGAGAAGACCTTCGATGGCCGACGAGTTGGAGCACTGTTGGGCCAAATGCTTTGTCGCACAAATGGCTTCCGCACGCAGTGTGTCATCCTTTGAGTGCAACTGAAGGCCCAACAGTTTGCCGATGTCTGCCGCGTACGGACTCAAGTCGAGTGACAGACCTTTAAAGATGACACCAATTAGATTGAGGACCACTTCTGCGTTACGCAAAACTGCTTTTTGAATGGCCGGCAAAAAGAGTTGCGAAAAGTCTTCGTGTGTTATTTGTTTCAATTGATATTTAAAACCAACAGATATTATGTCATTCGAGAGCTTTGTTTTGCAGCCAATGATGTGTTTGAGGAATAGATCCCTAAATACGGGCTTATACTTAGTGATGGCATCAATTGATTTCAGTTCCGATAAATATTTGATCACAAAATCCCACAGAATTGTCAGTTGGAGGGCAAGACTGGGATCACTATTAGTGGACAGTTTGGCTAAAGTGTCCGCATATTCCTCGATAGGCGTACACTTCCAGTATGTCTTGAGTTTGTTGTACGCCTGGTCTCTGATATTGGATGAGTCGGTGGCAGTGAGAAGAGCGCACAGAATGGACTGACTCTCGATTAATTTGCTTTGGATCTCATTATCACTGCATTCACTCCAATCCAAACAAATGCTTAGTTTAAAGGCTGACAAACAGACCCTGGCTATAGATTTGGTTGAATTCAATTGCTTTAATTGCAGACAATAGCTATGCAAACAGAGTATCAAATGCTTGGAACCGATGGTCGGATACTTCTTCAGCAAATGGCTCACGAAGTGTTTGACTAACGAAATGGATTTCGTGTCATTATATCTCATAAACGTAATGATTATTACTTTAAATAATCCACGGATTGTGGTCTCTATTCATACAAACAAATGCAATCAATGAATGGTTAAAATGGCACCAAATGGTGACAAACCTTCGATGTCTTTGGTGTCAATCAATTGAATCAAATGATCGAAAATAATTTTCCTGTCATTGAGTGAAGAGCTTTGTATATAAACCGACAAATTCTTCAGTATTTCACTGATGGTTGCCGTCGATTGGATCAACATTTTGGTGACACAAAACTGCGGCACAACTGATGTCTACATAAGTATCACCGCTAAGAGTGACCATAAAAACAGATATTCAAACGACAAGTGTGTCAACGAGTGAACGGCTTTTGGACACGATTTCCAACATTGCATACAAACGTGTTGTGAATAGTTCAGCGCATGCGTGACACATGGAGTCACAAACATGTGCTCACATTCACTACATTCACCGCACTATCAACACCACGAACAGCACTGTCACCACCATTGGATCCAATGGACAATATGACTGATTTGGTGAAGATTAAGATAATGCCCGAAGAGGACACCAAAACGATGGCACTGTTCAACTCGACGGCAGTGCCCGTTGACGCCAATTACACACTCGTGAAGGACCCCAAGACCAACCAAATTGGATTGACTGCAGTGGACACCACTTCCCACATGAAGTTCATTGGAGACAATTCGCTCAACAAGTCCTCCGAGTATTATCTGGGCGTCCGTCGTAACGGTGTCCTCGAAGTGCACTCTCTGTCTCTGTTCGCAATGAAACCTTCGATTGAAGTGTTGGCGCGACCTCAAGACGCCGTACTCACGCCCCTCACCACCAAAGAGCAAATGGATGAAATCAATGAGAAGTTCGGCTCAAGACGTTCCCAGAGATCACTCAATAGGAAGAGGAAGTATGCCATTGAGTTTGGCGAAGAGGACTTGTCCAAAGTGCTCGAATTACAGCACAACCCTGATCAATCCAAATAGCATACAGTTTATCATAACTTATTTGTAATTAGTAGTAGTTTTATAGTGAATGACAATTATATTGTATAAATGTGTAAAATATTTGATTAAATTGTGAGCATTATTTGATTAAAATGTTAAAATATTAAGATTAATGTGGAGATTATAATGAATGCTGAGATTATGAGTGGCGTTGCACTGTGTAGGGCACCGGTATTGCATCCATCCTTACTATTACAGGTGCAGAACTCGGTGTAGATGTCATGGGTTCCTAAAAGCAGTAATTGTATGAAATGACTGATGGATGGATGGCTTAGATATTTCATACCCTGTCTATAGAGGCAATTGTGTTCATTGCCGGTGCCTTCGCCGGGAGAGCCCAGAAAAGCGCAGCTTCTGATGGTTCTCCAGTTTCCGTGAATTTTTTGCCTTATTTTG